AAGAATAGGTCTTTTTGTAATTAAGGAGATACTGTCCCATCAATGTAGTGCAGCGGGGAAACCATGAAGAACACCTCAAATCTGTTTTGTACCATTCATTCATTTTATAGTATTAAGCAATTCGACAAATAAAGATCAACGGCTGGTTTTACCTGAGGGCCAAGTGAGGGGTGCAGCTGCCACTGACGGTGCAGAGGAAGGGTCTGCTGTTGAACTGAGAGATGATCAGCTGGAAGGTGACCTGACAAGTCTTGTATTGGAAAGGACTGAAGGTCACCATGATATTCTCTTCACCATTGGCTGGTATCACACCTGGAGGGGCAAAGAGAAGACAATAGGGGTGCTTGTGACACTCATTTTCATAACATGAACACAACCTGTTGCCATTCAGAGTGTGCTGTAACTAGTTAGCTAAACATAATGGATTCACGCCTTGTATTGCATGTACTTAGGCTGTAAGTGATGTGTTACGGTTTATTGTGTGTAGAGAGGACAGAGGATAAAAAAAGGACATCCAAAATAAGAAACTCGTTTGTATCCGTTCTTCCCACTCCAGGTTTGTACTTAGGTAAACCTCCAGCTGTATTTCAAATCCTAAGTGCTGCTTTCCGCCGTGTGTTATGATGCTTCCCAGACCTTCAATACTGCTTCGTGTCGCTGTGTGGAAACTACAAGCATCCTTCAAACTCTGTGGCGACTTGTTTAATACACAACCAGTCCAAGGTCTGAGAAAACACAGCACACCTGCTTTACAATGGCTGGTGTGCTACATGAGAACCACAGATCCACATCCCCTGCTAGATAAAGGGAAAACATGCAGAAGGCCATATTATTTGCCTTAAAAGACAAACAAAAGGGTGTAAATGATTTCACAGGTGTTGGTTAAAGTGTGGCCTCCTCGTCTTTAAAAGGTTTTCGTAGGAATTGTAATGATAGAAAAATAGCTTCATAGATTCATTTTTTATATAGTCTTGAAATCTGCAAATATGTGTATCACTTTTATACCAAGGCTAACTTTCAGTCATCTGTATACGCTTAACACAGTGAGGGAACATCGAAGGTATATATATTTGATAAGTCCCTACCTGTGAGGGGCTGGATGGAGAAGGCCTCGTGGGGCTGGATAACTTGCACCTGGAACTCAAAGTCGATGGGGCAGCTGCATCTCAGAGGAATAGCCTGGCAAACACTAGAGACAGGTGGGGAACAAAAGAGATGAGGATATTTTTGTTATGATCTGACACCAAAGGGTGAATGGAAGCCTGGGCAGCTGTATGGAAGGATAGGAAGAGACAGGCCAGCCCGGGGGCAGATGGGAGGTCAGGAAACAGTCCGATGAAGAACACACAAACTGTACGGCGTACGCACACACCTGTTTCCAAGTGGCACGGCTGACAGGTCGATGTGAGGAGGGATGCACAGGTCATCGATGACAGGGTAAGCATGAACTGGAATTAACAGGTTCTCCTCCCCCTTAGAACGGGTGTGGGTGGGTTGAATGCACAAGAAAGAGAAAACAGGAGACAGTGTATAGAGATAAGACCGATAAGAGAGGTCTCAAAGTAAACATGGGGATGTTTCACCAAATAATAAAACAACTAGAGCTGAAACAGTTGATTGACAGGAGAACATTTTCTAAATTAGTATTTTTTGATGCAAAAACTACAGATAGAGATTTTGGAGATGCTATTTTATGCACAATCATATTAAAATGAATAACTTGGAGACACAAGACAATTTGGAGACATGATCTTGGACATTTCCCCCCAATTTTCGATCTACAAATAGATTATTATTAGTTAGTTGTTTGCTTTGAAGTTATTTGAGGATCGCTGTGATGTACAGCTTTTACTTAATGCCTAAAGTGTAAAGATGAAAGCGCCCTCAGTGGTGCACAAACATCTGGATCCTCACCTTGCAGTGAACTCGAATGCAGTCATAGAAGTAGCGCCACTCGTCGGGACACAGCCTGACCCTCAGTGTGTAGGCGAGGCCCGGGATGAGTCGATACTTGAAGGAACACAGATGGAACGGGTTGAATCATAAGAAACAACACTAATGGCTGAGTGGAGTCATTCAGGTCAGCCATTTGTAATGAAAAAACATACCTTTTTAGTGTAAGTTGTTTGGAAGTGCTTGGTTTGAGTGGGTATGACATGAATATTCATAACTTCAGATGAGATGTTGATTAGTTTCTGAGGGAGGAGAGAAAATAATTATTCATTCCCATCCAATCATGTGCACTAGAGAAAAACCATTTCCATTTTCTTGGTGTTTACATCCATTCTACAGGGCTTCCTCACGAACATATGAGGTACAATCAGTGCCCATTCAATTGAAGCTAGACCAAATTAAATCATCCAAACGTTATACTTGTTGATGCATGGGCGTGAGAAGGGGTGACATGAAACACATTTGTAGGGAGCAAAACAAGTTATGTAGACAGATAGAATAAATGCCGGAAAAACATTTAGCTAAAACACAACTTAAAGAGACGTCTTGTCATAACACCAATATCTACGTCCTGCTATATGTCCTGCTATATGTCCTGTATGCATTCAGCTACAAAGAGTACAAAGGCTTGGAAAAACCATAACACCATCCATCAAGCACAAACGTTGCACCAAACTGCACAGACTTCCACTTCTCCCTGACCCAGGCTATCGTCCACACATCAGTCACCAAGTGCTTCAAACATGAGGATGCATATAACTACGTCCTGATTATTGCACTGGTACATCTTGATCTCTACGATGCTCTCTGAGTGTCTCTTTAGGGCCGGTTGAGAACCCGCGGTACTCTTGAGTGTTGGTTTCTAAGCTGACAGGAGTACTGTAAGAAGAATGTGATTACAGTCTTTCTGTGTCGAGTTAATATCATAACCAGCTCTGTAAATGCACCCAACACTGCCTCTAAAGGAGCGGCCCCTTTTGAAAAAAAGAACTCAACTATTCACTAACATATCAATATATATATACATTTAAATCACTTACAATCTGTAAATGAGCTGTTCAATGTAGCCTGTGAATGGGAGTGTGTATTTTCCTCACCAGGATCTTTACGTAATCCTTCCCCAGCTCAAACCCACTGAAGTGAAGCTCTGCGGGCTCTGCTTGGATCAGGCTGTTGCTTTTCAGTTTGGCATAGATTTCTATAAGAGGGAACAAGTAATTAGTGAAATGCTTTTTAGCAACAGGACATTTCCTTGAATGCAGGCTTTTTAATACGTACTTGATTCGAGAAGATGATTGGGAGCGTTTGCTTTGCTCCTGCTCTCCTCCACCAGCTGGCTCAGAGGCACAGGGGTCCCCCTCCTGAGGGGCTCCGGCAGTTTCTGGGGGCCAGAGAGGACCACCTCCATCCTGCAAGAGGTCAGGCCTGGCTCCTCATGAGAGAAATGACAGAAGGCTGGAGGACAGACAAGGAGACACCAGATTGTTGGGCAATATTATGTTGGTAAAGCTATGAATAAATAATCTGAATACAAGAGGAAAGACATGGAAGGACAGCGGGTCATTATGTGTGTTAATGACAGAACTGAATATACTTTCTGACATTAAGATGCAAAAAGCATGCACGAGGGGGGCATCACATCCCGTCCTACTGTATACAGTAATCCATTAACACCCCTTATTTTTGAATCATGTTACTTTGTTGGAGCCTTATGCTAAATGCAACAAATGTTTTTCCTAAAAGGTAAATACTGACAATTTGTCTCCCCCTCTCATACACAAACACTTTTATTTTGTTATGATTTGACCGGCCACTCATTGGATAAACATGTGTTTTGGTTGGTGAGTGAGCCACGTCTTTCCCTAGAATTAGATGGAGCTAATTACTGACCGTGCTTGGAAAACTTCAACGCAGCAGATATATGTATTATTTGTAAGCCTTAATTCCCAGATATGTACAGTGAGCTGTGCACCAGGTGTGTGCCTCCTCCAATCAGATGAATTCATCACAGGTGCACCAATCAGGTGACGATACATCTCAAAGATAATTAAAGAAATTGGCGACACCTGAGAAAATATAAAAGCATAGAGCTGCAAAGTATTAAATATTAAAGGTTAAGTGGTCATAAACGTCATAAACGCACGGTATTTGCATCACTTATAAGTCTTAAACGTGAAAGGAGCTATATAAAATTGAAATTATTATTATTATTAAACAACAGTAAATTATATTTTTGTACCGCTAAGTATTTTTTAGTTATCAATTCAAACTTTTTAATATAGCACTTTTGATACACAAAGATAACTCAAAGTGCTTCACAAACAAACCACATAAACAAAACTCCTTGTGAAAAGTTAAATTAAAAAAATACAATGATTAGCGTTAGCTTACCTGTGGTCACCTGTTAGCTTAATTTAACCACTCAAACTCATGCTAGCGTTAATTTCAAAGCTGCATAGCAAGACTTTTAACCGCTTCTCATTCAAAAAACATTATGAACAATGTCACTTCAGAACTTACTTACGTTTTAGGCGAGGGTTTGCATGAAGCTCTTGATTTTAAAACCAATATATTCCGTCTATTTTTCACAAAACAAACATTTTGAAGGAAACCAACCTCCACCCTCAAACACTGATGTTGCCATAGAGACCCTCGTGTTCTGAAGGGGGCGGGACTAACGGCCTGTGGGCGAAGCCGATTTGCCCCCAAAGGAAGTCAATGCCAAAAAATAAGACCGAATAACGGAAACTTTGCTTTCAAAATAAAAGCATAGACGGCTAATATGTATATTATTTTAATATTTGTTTGGATGTATACAGTGGAAATATATTCTGTTGATCCACATTTTAATGAAGTTACGCCCTGTTACTATATGTTAACGTTGTTACACATTATGAAAGTATAAAAGTAACGTGCCCATGAATTAAAACTTTATTTTGAAAGTCATAACTTCCAGTTGACTTTTCATTACAGCTACCTTGATGGTCGAGTATCACATTGTCCTGAGGAGAACTGTGCATAATTATCGACACTGAGTAGACCTATGTTTGATATCATATATCTGCTGCCAGCAGGATGCTTGCCTTTCATTCTAATCAGATATGAGGCTTAATGTTTGGATGTAGGTCCCTATCTTGATTGAAAAAAGGAACCTGCCAGAGAGAATGACAAAAGTTGGACTTATTGGAGTGCTACTGTTACCCCAGGTGAGAATATAAAAGTGTGTTTGAATCTATATATGTTAAGATTAAGTTAACTAGTATACCTTTATTGTAGGCGTCATCCTGGTGTCTTCCTCATGTTAATCTAATGAAAGAGGAGGATACGTGCCTGACAGATCTGCTGCTTTTGACACAACAAACAGGTGAGTTACATTCGTTGTACGCATGTTACACTTGTATCTCATAAAACATATTGTAGTTAAGTAGGCTGTTTTCCATTGAAATAATGTTTATCTCTGGAATAAATAAAATCTCTAAATAAAGCACTTTTTAATTTATAGAAATGTGAAGCAATGTTTCGGTGACACCCAGTGGTCACAAAACAAAAGGCACCCTGACATCTCATCCTTACATTAGGCAGAATGTATTGTACACTAAATGATCCAGATGCATCCAGAATTTGAGGTTTTGCAGTGTTTCAACTCTGCAAAAAAAACACATCACATGTACCAATATATTCCGTCTATATGGATTCATTCTTATTATTGACTTGTTTGTATTGAATTGCAGCAAAAAAAATGTCATTTCTGTTCCAACTATGAAGAAAACAATATCAGTGTACACTGTAAGGGAATGTGGGATGAGCTGAACTGCTGGCCTCCTGCTTCTCTCGGAGAAACCGTCTCTCAGCCGTGTCCAGAGTTTTTCAGCTCGGAGGGTGAGACACACACACACACACACACACACACACACACACACACACACTATCTATCCCATATCGGTGAACTGGTTAATTATTTACCAAAAAGCTGATCTGTTTTCATAAAGAACTCACATTTTCCTTTTCCCTCTCAACGTCTCTATGTGCACAAGGATTTTATGGCTGCTGACTGTTTGGTTAGGGACACACTAGAGTGCTAAGTATGTGTTAAAAGATGATGATAGATTTCATGATAATGTATCTGACGTTTATGAAGAGGTAATGTGTAAAGCTTTTCACTTTCCAGTAAATCCAAGTTTGCAACACAGGACATATTTCTTCTTCTGTCAGGCACATATTCCCTTTCAGACAACAGTAATGATGAATATGTGTATGCTCTTTTGCAGCTAAAGTGCATCGTAACTGCACGGCCAGTGGCTGGACGGACCCTCTGGTCCCACATGAAGACGCATGCGGCTACACCTTCAATGAGACTCTCCACTTCCTTGGAGAGGTTGGTAGAAACTAATATTTACACAGTGTGTTAGTTATGAAGCAAATAGGCCACTACTTGTACATTTTAACTGGCTCAGAATAACAGGGTTTCAGTTTCATCGGTGTTAGGAACAGATCTGCCTGAAACTGAATTGAAAAGTTAAGACCCCTGTTTACCAAAATGATATGCCCAAACTCTTGAAATAAACAATATTAATTTAACACCTGATGCCCTCAAGAACTCTCTCTCTTTGAACATTAGACTGCCCACATTTAAAGGTACATTTCTGTATAAGAAAGACATGACAAAGTGATGTTTTCTCCTTGTTCAGTCCCATTCGTATTTCTCCTACGTGAAGACCATGTACACGGTGGGATACGCCCTCTCCCTCATCTCCCTCTCCATCGCCGTCACCATCTTCTGTCTGTTCAGGTGAGAAACATCTGAATATCTTCATCCTTTCTTCAACCAGAAAAGTGTTATCCTGAAACTGTGAGTGTTACCGTTCCTTCAGAAAGCTGCACTGCACCAGGAACCACATTCACATCCAGCTGTTTGTCTCCTTCATCCTGAGAGCCATCTTCATCTTCATCAGAGACTCCCTGCTGTTTCACAATGAGGAGCTCTACCACTGTGACGCCTACCCGGTACCATCTCCTACATCTGGGGTGTCCAAACTTTTTTCACCGAGGGCCTCATACAGAAAAATATACAAAGGGCTGGGCCACTCAGTAGAGATATATTGCCTCATATGTTAAGTTAGCAAAATTAATAAAATGAAGGTAAATTATGCTTAATACTTGAACATGCTTTCACAGCTCTCTATAGGGTTTCATTTATTTTGTTACAGCTCATTCCTTAGCCTCAGATTGCTTATAATTAGGGGAAATATGAAGGGTTTATTTCAAGCGTGATATACAAAGAAGTTATTGGGCTTTTTTCTTATCACTTAGATTTGACTTTAACTGACTGGTTTGTTTGAAAAGTGGGCTTTTTAACACATGAATACTGTGTGATATCGGCTTTCATCTATATTGAAGAAGCACAATACAAGACAAGCGCAAGTTTCATGTGTGGGCCATACTCCATTATACTTTTAGAATTTGCTGATGGCCGATTCAAAATGGCTTCCGCATTTGGACACCCCTGTCCTACATTATACAGGAAGGTGAGAGTGTTTTCACACACCTTTCCTGTGCGGCAGGTGGTGTGTAAGGTGGTGCTGATGTTTTCCAACTACTCCATTCTGGCCAACTACAGCTGGCTTCTGGCGGAGGGTCACTTCCTGTTTACTCTGGTGAGCCGCTCCTTCTTCTCCCTGAAGAAACACCTGGCCTGGTACATCGTCCTGAGCTGGGGTAGGTCACATGATCACATCAATCAACTCAATATAGCTGTATTCACATTGACTATTTATTCATTTGTATTATTATAGCAACCAGTCATGCCAACATTAATTACACTGTAATCTGAGTTTTTCCATTTTAACTGTATTGTAATATTATATTTTAACTGTACTGGGTATTATTTTATTGACCTGTACTTAAATCATGTTTTATAATTGTCTGTGTGATAGATATTATGCAATGTTTGGAGTGTGTGTTGATTGTTATGTACCTACTTTAGCTCTCTTCTCTTTTCTGAGATGAATCTATTTGCATGCATGGTCCTTGTTGAAATAAACACATAATAATTCATCCCTTAGGTTTACCTCTGATTGTCATCGTCTCCTGGGGATGTGCAAAGTACTTTTATGAAGACGAAGGGTACGTGGGGTTAAAATGGAATCACTCATTCATTTGTTTTGTCGTTATCAAATGATATGATTGTATTTCTTATTTTATCGCCACAGCTGTTGGGAAACCAGGAGGCATGAGTGGATTTGGTGGATACTCCGAGTGCCAGTTCTTCTGACTATATCTGTAAAAACTTTACTTGCATTTCATTCTCTGTTAAAACGTCTTTCAAATTAGTAGTAATATAATAGTAGTTCCAGGTTTTGGGGAGTACACACATTTGAGATGAGAATTGCTTCATTTTCAGAATATAAACATATATGAGTGGGATCAATAAAGTTGAGGACAGCAGTTCAATCAGGAGAGACGTGATGTATGGAATATATATTTATTATCGGTCACATTATATAAATGAAACATAATGATGACAGTTTATAACAAGTGAATGAAATGGTGTTTGGCGATTAGGCCCAGGTTTTGTAGGATATCATTCGGGAAGGGAAGAACCGTTTCCGATGAACCCCCCTGGGTCTAGACACTGGTGGTGGTGATAAGTGGTTAGGTCTGGTTGGAAGGGAGAAGGTTAAGCTTGGCCCTGAGTTGGAAGCAGAAGGCGAAGGGGTGGAGGAGGGTTGCGCGTTGACAGCTGATAGGAAAGGGGAGAGCACATATAGAGGGATTAACAGGTGCGATAATTAGGCTTGTAAATGGAGGGGAGTAATAGGTTAGCTGAGGAGTGGCGCTCCCTGTCATTTAGTGCAGGGAGCGAGTATTGCCATGACGTGCAATACGGAGTGATAGGTCTTCCTGTCTGAACTTGCGCTAAGCTTCATTTGTTGACATAGGAAAAAACAGTGTATTTGAGGAATGGTATTTTGACTAAGATTAATGAAGACGGTGCCTATTTGCAAAGAAAGCTAAACATTTATTTCTTAAAAGGCCAAAGTATTCCACACACATGATAACAATCGTCTTTTAATAATTCCAGATGAACCTCGTCTTTTTCTTGGGCATTTTGAGGATCCTGGTGAACAAGCTCAGGATGCCAGATGCACAGAGGAATGAATTCAGCCAGTATAAGTGAGTACTAGAAAGACAAGGTAAACTTAACTATGTGCATTTAAAAATAATAGTTTCGGCGAAAACTAAAAGGTACCATGGGGTCAGATTATCATTTTCCAAAGGGGGGTTCGTTTAGCATGAAACACTTGAAATAACTAAAGGATAAGTTAAACAAGAAAGTAGAAAGGCCTGAGGTCACAGAAAACTATTTCTGCTAAAAAGTGAGCATTGATTGAGAGACCTAAACATTTCAGATGTGTGTATCTGTAACTTTTATTCATGTATCGAGTGTTTTTAAATGTCATTTCATAATGTCTCTTAATGTCTTTTTGTAAAGCACTTTGAATTGCCTTGTGTTGAAATGTGCTATATAAATAAACTTGCTTTGCCTTACCAAGTATACTTACTTAAGTACTTACCTTGTATAGCCATACTTTATCTAAAGCTGATTACACTATTAGTTTACTAGGGGAAAAGCAGTGTATTTGAGGAGTGGTATTTTGCATAATATAACATAAGATTGTGTCTATTTGATTAAAAGTGCACGCACAAGGACAGAAAGTAAATCTAAGACATGATTCAAAAGGTAGATGCCTGGAAACGTATTTGTATTATTAATTAGCGTAAAACATACTTTATTTTTCTTTCAGGAGGCTGATCAAATCCACCTTCTTCCTGGTGGCTCTGTTCGGTCTGCACTACATACTGTTTGTGTTCCTACCTGTGGAAGTCAGCAGCTCCGTGTTTCAGATCTGGACCTTTGCAGAGCTGGCTCTGTCCTCCACTCAGGTACACTCGGTTCATTCATGAGAAGAACAGCAATGAGAACATTCAACTCACAACCTTGTCAATTAGCATGCCAGATATGATTGGATGAGATGTAGCTTCTTGTCGACCAGCTTTGTAACATACTATTGACACCTTTTCACAATCACAATAGCAGAAGAACAATTAAGCTTCACGAGGGTATATTGCAGGTTTTATAATGACATTTTATATATTGTTTGGACAATTTCACACATCCATTTACATTTAACGTATGTTGCTTTGAGTTTTCTATTTCGAATTATTGCTTACTATCATATGTATTTTTTTGTATGTTATTAATGTTTTTTTATTTAGAATGTGTTGTATTTACTTAATTAGTTTATTCTGGGGGGTTATACAATTGTGTAATGTCTTTTGCTGAAGAAAACAACTCACCAAATCTCCTCTGTTTAAGGGCTTTGTGGTCTCGGTGCTCTACTGCTTCATGAACGGGGAGGTAAGGCCTTCATTCAAACTGAAACATCTGCAAAAGGAGCGACCTACCTGTTATTGATCGTGTTTCCTCCAGGTTCAGCATGAGATCCAGAGGAGGTGGAGGAGGTGGAGGCTGACCCAGCACCTCCCCAGCAGGAGGAGGCAGCACCACGGCTCCATCAGCCACAGCGGCTCCCCCCACACACAGGTAGGTAGATACATCGATCGGTACTTTATTGATTGGTACAACAAATCACCTCTGGCCGGAAGAGAACTCTCGGCTTAATCTGTGCTGTCCTGATTTTCATCCTTACCCTGTTGCTGTTAAACCACTACATCTCCCCACGGGGATTAATAAAGCCATCTCATCTTATATAATATCCTGCTTCATATGTTGTCACTGTACATTTCTAATTCAACTTTAATGCTATTTTATTGCTATTGAGATGTTGACTTTTTGACATTTGTATTTCTAGTCTTTTAATTTGTATTGTATAATGCCATGTCTTTTGATGCTGCTGCAACACAAGCATTTCCCAACTTGGGATCAATAAAGTACTTCTTGTCTTCTCTCAGGTCTCCCTGCTGCCCTGCCCCCCCGCTGGCCCCGTGGACACCGTGGAGATGTGACTTCAGCTCAAATCCGCTCGTTTCCTCTCTCCACCCAGCGACACCTGATTGATCCTGGATCAGCTTAGCTGAGAGTCGATCAGGACACGACTGTAGAGGGAGGGTTTCTGATGCCTGGACTGATTTTATTTGAAGACATAAGGATGTAGAACGCACTAAGGAGGCCCAGTTAGTAGTATCAAACTTAATTTGTCTTGAAATACCAATGTATGACCATTCAAGAGATAATGTGGATGCTTTTTTAACTGGGGTTGTTATCCATAGTCAGTGTGTTACTACAGAGGGTTGCAGTCTGCAGAAATAGACAATAATATCAGCACTGTAGCTAAGCAAACTTATATTAAGACATATAAAAGAAAGACCAACTTAAAAGTAATTCAAGCTTCATTGTACGTGTCGATATTTTGAATATTGTGAGATTTACCTTGTTTTCAGAGAGCCCTTTCTTCAAATCCACCAGACTCCTTTGACAAAAACAGTCATTTTGACCTCAAAGAGTACACTTCTGTTACCCTGCCTTCATGAGTTAGTTTCCTTTTGATATTTGGTGAATACTTGTTGGATATTTGGCCTAAGGCTTTAGTCTCAGGCCCAAAGAACAAGTCTTTATTTTTGATACCAGTCTTGTGAACCAATGCTTTTTATTTTAACATTTTTATATGAAAATGTACATTGTGTTTGCCCTTAAAAAGAATAGCAATCGAGACAGAAGCTGATCACATGCTGACCCTCGCTTCATTATGAGCGATCAGAACGTTCTCCATGTGGTCTAACGCAGGAATGAAATAGCAGGTGATGTCTGTTCTACATGAAGTCCAATGTGTTGTCTATTGAACAAAGTGAGAAATGTGATGTTGGAAATAATACAGAAGGTGAGAAAGTGACTCTAGATCCCATATTTTATCTTCAGGTCCTCCACCAATTCGATATATGCCACCTTCGCCTCGTCTTTGCCCAAGCCTGTTGTTAATAAGCAAACCGTGTGACAGTAGAATAAATATCAGTTTTTCAATTACTCTTCTTTTAAGTTCTTTAATGCTGTGTGAAGATCTTACCTTTTCTTCGTTCCCATGCATCCCATTTCCCGCGTCCTGCGAGGTCAAATATCGACGGACGACCTGAAAGAAAGTAAATCAATTAAATAGCTGAAAGAAAAATGTACTTCAAGTATCAACAGTAAAAGTACTCAGTGCAGAAAAATCGCCCACATGAAATAATCATTATCACATAGTTCAATAAAAGAAAATCTTTTCTCAAACCCTTAGGCTTAACAATTGTATTTAAACTTTAATGTAATAAAACAAGTTGCCCTTTAACCTCTTGACCTAATAGTTAAAAATGCATGGTATTTAAAAAATGTGCAGATAGTGGTTTGGGGTTGAAATAAAAGTTATTTCTACTAACACATAATACTTTTTTCTCACATTTTGTGCACACACTTGTTCATATGCTTGTTACTAAGCACTTCAGTTGCATATGTATAACATGGGTGTGCCGTGGTGCTGGTCACAATACAAAACTCTCAATTAACGACTTCTATCAGTTTTGCCATCTTTCACAGAAAGACACCCAACTTGTCCGACCTGATTCTAGTCTCACCGCGCCCTGCAGGTATCTGCTCACTGCTGGGTCACTCTGAGGACATCGCAGTCTTTCTTTGGCGTTTCCATATTCATTCTACGTTGTTAGCAACCTTACACTCACCTATGTTAACATCCCCGACTGTGGCTTGTTTATATAAACCGTACATCTCCCCCAGATCGCCGTAGCCTGGTCTCTGTTTCAGATTCTTCACCTCCTCTACGGCTTTTTCAAAGGACTCCTGGAAGGGGAGAAGACACAGAAACTCAAACTCTCATATTTAAAATAAACATCTATGATATAGCTTTAAAAACAACAACTTCCCTGTGGATAACACAACTTAACGGTACAGTACATCCTTGTGTCCCATAGCGGCTTAAAGTGAGAGAGTACTTACATTCATGACTGCTGTGTGACACCTTCCTTCACTCTCTGCTGGTTATAAGTCCTGAAAGCAGGTTATCAAGTCAGGGAGGAGCTTTCTTAAAGACACAGAGAGTAAACACAGCAGGAGAATAACGGCTAATAAAAGGAAGGAAAAGTATACTTTGAGATACGTTTTTTGAATCATAGTTTGTTAAACATTATATCTTGAAATCTAAACATGTGATACTTGATGTATTGCACAGTAATCCTTCGCATACTACCTATAATTAATATAGGTTGATAAAGTAATATTCACACAAACAAATGCAGTTGACAGATAAAAGTGGGAGTTCCCAGTTGCAATACGAAATATATATATTTCTAATAAAAGCTCAAGCCTGACAAAGAAAATCTAATATTTTGGAGAATGTAAAAACGCCTGTGACCAGATTTAATCCTTTTTTTATGGGACACCTGTCGTCTAATGTTTCATAACACTAATTAACTTGTTTAAAACAGTACAGAATAAAATACAAATATTACTTTTAAGTCCTAAATACAACTTTATGCCAAAGGAAATGTTTCTAGCTTTGGGAGACAAGGGGAAGTTTCTCCGCCACAAGATGGCAGCGTCCACTTATTTAATGGATCAAAGTCTATATCAGATTGACCTGATCTAGTGTTTTGGGCAGTGGTGGCGAAGTCCATAGGGACTTGGGTTGATGACTGGAAGGTCACCAGTTCAAGTCCTAGTTGAGTGCTACAAAGCTGCCAACAAAAAGAAGCCTTTCAGTGGATTTTCTACATCAGTCTTATCTTTAAAGAGTATTTTAAAGATTAGATGTATTTAAGTTTCACTTCAGCCTTTCACTCAATTAAGAACTCTTCACATGAAGCATCTACAAATGAATCTCCCATATTTCAAACATAAATACAAAAGTGAAACAACGTTTTGTAAAAAAAAGTATTTATTCTATGTTCTAGAAATGTCCATTTGAATTATTTACATTCACACCTAGAAAAACGTACATTTCAGTTCACTACTATGGAGACATTTTAACTTAGATTCAGAAAACATGTAACACAGAATCATCTTTGGCTAGAACACTAATAAAATATAAACTCTAAGAACAAGCAGTGCCGAACAAACAACAGAAAACTGATTTTACTGAAACTGTAAAAAACTTTGGCAACAGCCTTTTCATATTTTAGGACGATTGTGTTATGATTGGTGTTTATCAGCAGGTCCGTTCAACACTTTAAATAAAGGCAGAAAACACATGTAATATGCACATCAGTGGAAGTGTGTAACCACTTTCTGTACTCGACAAAGCAAACCCAACGAAGTGCTTCAGTTTCCAGTTGGCACGAGAATCAGAAAACCTTACCTGAGTAAGAGACTGAAGAAACATTATAAAAAGAAGGGGTGGCTTTTGTGTAACAATGATAATATGATCAGTTCTGGACGCACATGATCCATCAGTGAAGTCACACACTTCTAGAGTTAGTGGACTGTAACCATGACACATAACGCTTTCTGTGCAGAGACCACTTTGTACATTTCAAAAGGCACTATGCAGCTTTTTCTGCAACCAGGTGTTCATGAGGCTCAGGCCTCATCCAAACCACAATCCTTTCCAAACGGTCCCACAAAGTTTAAATACATATATTATCTAATTCTCAATGATGTCCAAACGAAAGGAAACATTGATGTCACGTCGAAAAACATCGTAACAATGTTGGGACAAACGTCTTTGCAGCAGTGTTGAAGTGCAAAGAGAAAAGGTAAGAGGAGGTCTACTTCTGATGGTCAGATGATTTCAAAGACTCCTGCTGAGCTGTAAAGCCTTCAGCAGGTCCATCAGAAGTATAACAGACTGTTTTGCACAAGTTAAACATGTGCTCCTCTTCTACTCTGTGTTGAAGCTTCACACAAAACAATAAATTAAGGCTAAACACTCATTAGTGACGATGCATAGTGCAATAAGCTTGATTACCAAAGCTCTATTTCTATCTTCATCAGGACCTATCAGGTTATTTTGTTCAAAAGAAGCTCACACATCTCTTTCACCTCCCGAGTGCACACATACTGCTTGTACACCCTTTAGTCTCTACTACAGTTTCTGGGTCTCTCTCACACGTTGCTGACGTCGTCCAGCGTGTTGCGGCAGTTGTCTTCGGGCAGTCTGAAGCGGAGGTGTCGTGTTTTCTCCCAGCCGCGGCGGATCTGTTGGAGGCGCAGGGCCACGCAGGGCACGCAGAGAGCCAGGCGGCCCAGCAGAGCCACGCAGGGCAGAACCAGAACCAGCACGAAGGTGGGCGGCAGCAGGAAGTGGTACTGGGCCGGGTCGAAGGCTCTGCCCCAGCCGAAGAGGAGAGTGTGGACGGTGGCCATGGACAGGGCGCAGTAACCCACTGTGGACTGCAGGGGGGAGACAATGTTAAAGAGGTTAAGAGATCTAGATAAACTTAATATCTTTCGCACAAAAAAAAGAAAACAATGCGACTAAAGCATGCAAGGAACAATCACCTACAAACCCAAGACAGACCGGGTTCAATTATAGACAAAAAAAGTCATCTTTAATGTAAATATCGAATACAATGATGATAATAAAACTGATATTTCCCTTTTAAGTGACTTATTATACCAGTTCATTACATTAACTCATGTCTCACAGGCTGCTGCGGACCCCGAGGAAACACACCACTCATGACCTGAGTAAACCCCACTGGTGTGCATTTGTGTGTGTGTGTGTGTGTGTGTGTACGCTATTTAAAGTGCCAACTGATTAAAAAGCTTCCTAAGAATGAGTCTGGTGGAGGCCAGCGGTTCAGGGTGGCATCATTCTTCCCAGATGATAATTATTTCCACTTGACATCCTGATGAATTCTTGCTACAGTGCTTTCAAATGACTGAAGGGGAACATTACATTACATTACATTACATTACATTGCATTTAGCTGACGCTTTTATCCAAAGCGACTTACAATAAGTACATTCGACCAGGAAGACACAACCTTGAAGAAAACAGAATCATAAAGTACATCAGGTTTCATAGAGCCAAACATTTCAAGTGCTACTCAACTGGCTTTAGATAAGCCAGTCCTTTATTAGTATATAAGTGCTTTGTTAATAGTTCTATCGCTCGAAGTGGAGTCGAAAGAGATGAGTTTTCAGTTTGCGCCGGAAGATGTGCAAGCTATCTGCCGTCCTGATGTCAATGGGAGCTCATTCCACCATCCTGGAGCCAGGACAGCAAACCCACGTGTTTTCGCCGATGGGAACTTGGGTCCCCCTCGCAGCGAGGGCGCAGCGAGTCGTTTGGCTGATGCAGAGCGTAGTGCACGCGCTGGGGTGTACGGTTTAACCATGTCCTGGATGTAGGAAGGGCCAGATCCATTCGCAGCATGGTAAGCAAGTACCAGTGTCTTGAAGTGGATTCTAGCAGTTACCGGAAGCCAGTGAAGGGAGCGGAGGAGCGGAGTGGTGTGGGAGAATTTAGGAAGGTTGAAGACCAGACGAGCCGCTGCATTCTGGGTGAGCTGCAGAGGTTGGATGGCACATGCAGGTAGACCAGCCAGGAGGGAGTTGCAGTAGTCTAGGCGTGAGATGACGAGAGCCTGGACCAGAACCTGAGTCGCTTTCTGAGTCAGCTGGGAACAGCGGAGTTTTAAAAAAAAAGGAATGAGAAGATGTCTGGTCTTAATATGTGTCCTTGTTGATGCTGTAAATGGAGCTGATGGTGATGCAGGGACAATGTTAGACTTGATGTGACAATAAAGTATGATCTTATCGTAAATAATCACTAATTAAAATGCCATGTCTGCAGTTTTCACTTCCACATTAATGCCTAATAAAGAGAGATTTTTGCCATTACATTTCCAGCCCTGCTCATTCAAACACAACCCTAAGCAAAACAATTATGTTATTTGGTCTTCTGTAATTTGTGCACATTGAAACTGAACAAAAGAGACAGCGCCCCAACGGCCCAAAAGCATTCATTTGACTCTGATTCGGCCGAGTCGGGGGCTTTTACATTAACGGCAGGAAGCCTCTTCTGTGCGTCAACATGTGCAATCCCTACGCTTTAAAGCCTTGAATAGTCCAAATAAATGTCTATCATGGGCACAACAAATGGAGTGTTTCAAAAATCTGTTGATCTTCACACCATCCCCACCCTCTGGAAAAAATCAATAATAAAACCTGTCCCCAAAAAACCTTGTCCAAAGGTAAACAATGATTTTAGGCCTGTTGCATTGACATCCATTGTCATGAAATGTTTTGAGAGGATCATGGTGCCGCTGCTAAAATGGAGGTTGATGTACATTTAGACCCTTTTCAGTTTGCCTACAAGCAAGGGCGTGGCACAGACGATGCTCTAAATAGCATCACACACCTGGTCACTAAACACCTGGAAGACCCTAAGGCATATGTACGCCTACTGTTTGTGGATTTCAGCTCGGCTTTTAACACACTGCAGCCTCACATCTTGCTTCAAAAACTGATTAAGATCAATATAAATCCTTTCATCTTGAAATGGTATTTTTCGTTTTTAACCAATCGCACTCAGCAAGTCAGGGTCAACAATGCCCTCTCAGAGCCCCGGACCATCAGTAACCCAACCCCCCAGGGTTGTGTGAGCTCCCCCGGTCCTCTTCACACTGTACACAAACGACTGTACAAGAGCCCACCCGGAGAATTATATCATCAAATTCTCTGATGATACAGCTATCCTTGGCTTAATGCACAAGGGCAGCAGTTCATCGGCTTATCACTCTGAAATAGAGAGATTTGTGCAGTGGTGTGATTCTAGCCATCTAGTGCTGAATGTGAAGAAGACTGAGGAGATGGTGTGGGACCCAAAGGCAGTGGGTGACCTTAGCCCGGTGGTTATCCACAATGAACCCATAACTCAGGTCAGCTCCTATAAGTACCTTGGTGTCCATCTAGATAATACACTCAGCTGGAAGGCGCATGTTCAAGGTCTGTGCTCTAGACTTCAACAGCGATTGTACTTTCTGCGTCGACTCCGGGCTTTCTGCGTCGACCAGAAGTTCATGTTACTGTTTTATCATGCAGTGTTGGAGAGCATCATTAGGTATGGTATCACTGCCTGGTACGGTAACTTGACAGTGCAGTCAAAGTCACAGATCGCTCGCCTGGTACAGACGGCTATAAAAATTATGGGGGTTAAAAAACACCCATATCTCCAAAACATATATGAGCAGTCCATTATCAGACAGGCAAACAAAATAGTGTCTGATCCCACCCACATACTCCACCCAGAATTCCAGCTCCTACCTTCTGGTAGAAGATTCAGGGTTCCCAAGAGCAGGCTGAACCGCTATAAGCACTCATTCCTACCAATGTCCGTTAAACTTCTTAACATTGACAGGAAGTGAAATGTAGTCGAAGTCAAATGTAATGAAATGTACTTTTTTTTTTAAATGTTGGCCATGAGGGTTGTGCAATAGGTCGCCATTGTCAGTATGTGCGTCTGTGTGTATTGTGTTTGTTCAAACGGTGTATGATTGATGATATGTGTATGTCTCTTAAATGTCCACTATGTTTGTATATTATGTACATGTATGCGGAACTGCTGGACGGAGCCCAGAACGAATTTCCTTACGGGGACAATAAAGTATATCGTATCGTCTCGTTGTATTCAAAGTGGTTATATCTGTGTTAAAACAAGTCAAATACATTCTCTACATTACATAAAGCAGTTTTGCTGAACCCACAGTGTCCAGCTGTTTCAGGACATTTCCCAGTGACCCGTCTTAAAGATGTGTGTCATCAGAAGGACTTGTTGGTCTTTTTGAGGATTTTCTATAAAATTTTACTTATGACTAACCTTGGTTATCATAGGATGGCAAGAAGTGGTATTTTAAAGTGGACCTATCATGCTATATTTCAATAATATAGTGTAGGACCATACCTATATAAAGGCATATTTATACTTTATACTTTTCAAAATACCAAACAGATCATGCATTTTAGCCATTCCTCATTTCGCTCAATTTAACACCGTCTTTTCACGGGCTGATTCTGTGAGAACAGCACCATCTACAGGCCTGGCATATGTACTACAGCGTCTCCAGCACTTTCGAACGGCAATGTCCGTGGCTGTCTCCTCCTGATTGGTGGAGTTGGCCCAATAGCCGTAGCGCTACTTCTGTGACGTCAGAGAAGTGTTCAAATCTGGATCAGTCTGTATCAGATCCATTGCAGCCCCTTTTTAAGAGATTTGGGTATGGAGAAAAAGAGAGAGGGTTGTGTTTTCTGACACTTGGTGAGTTCCCTGGAACACCAGGGACACACATTCATGTATAAAAGACGTACAAAAGTGCATTTTGCATGATAGGTCCCCTTTAAGTGACCAATATGTGGGCTGTTTTATTTATCTTGGAACACAGTTATGTTTTCGATGCCATTCCTTGAGAGATAAAGAGAATCAGACTATGAATCAACCTTTTCTCATTGCTTGTATGTCCATTATAAACAAGTATGCGTCCTCTCCCTGGTGGACACAGACGGTAAACCCAGCGTCCTGCAGCTGTGAGAGCAGGTCTGGAGGTTCAGGGCAAGAAGTTTCTCTTCATCGCTCCGGCTCTCGACACATGACTAATCTGACGGCCACCGGATTAGCTGAACGGAAAGATGAAAGGGGAAAAGCAGTCGGACCAAGAGTCATGGGGGAAAAGAGGCCACCATGGGGGGGGGAAGTGTGTGTGTGTGTGTGTGTGTGTGTGTGTGTGTGTGTGTGTGTGTGTGTGTGTGTGAACTGAGTCACGACTCTCCTGAGTTTAGCGCCAAATCTGGGGCAGCAGCAGGAGTGCAAACGCAGTGATTGTATGAGCCATGTAGAGACATGTAGAGATATGGAGTGCATCTGTCTGCATCAGCGTGACGCCTGTGGGGGTGTGTGTGTGTGTGTGTGTGTGTGTGTGTGTGTGTGTCAAGTGTCTGTCAATCTTCACCCATCATTGTGTATTAATCCCATCTGTCTGTATGCAGCTGAATGTTTTTTTCAAGTGGTCTTTTTTTAGCTATTGTGCATGTATTCATCACCATGAATATACACTATAGCTACCGTGCATATGACAATAAAGCCTTTGAGCCTCAAGGACAGCTATACCATTCTCCTTCCTGTTTGTGCGTACCTGTATGAAGGTGAACTCCCTCCAGTTGACAGAGTTGGCGACGGAGGGCAGCGAGGTGACGGCCAGCAGAGAGAGCAGTCCGAGCGCCATGATGCCCGCGGAGACGTACAGCTCCATCCTCCACACCTCCTCTTCCACCCACACCTCGTCCCCCTCCTTCATCTGGACACCACAGGACAGACAGCACTCTTCATCTCTAATTAATTCACCCGATGTACTGCAGCTAGTTGTAAGTGTAGTAAATGATTATACAACAAATGCCACTTCTGCCAAGTCTAATTCAGTCGGCTTAAATCACACTAGTAATGACCATTCATCATGATTTTATACATTTATATATATCATTTTTATGCTTATTAAATTAGTTACTGCTTTGCTAATTTTGCTGTAACGCTAATGAAGGAATTAAAGATAAATACATAAAAGGTGCTTGTGGCTGTACAGCACTTTGGTCTGGAGGTTTGAAAGTGCTTTCTAAGTAAAGCTGTATTGTATTGTGATTCCTCTCACCTGTCTAACAGCGAGGAGCAGTTTAAAGCGTGTAGACTTCCTCATGGGGAGGCTCAGACTGTAGATGGCGTGTAACGCTGCACACAGGAAGCTGCACAGTCCAAACTGCTTCCTGCACGTCAGCCAGCGGTCCAGCCAATTAGGGAAGCGGTTGTATTTGGTGCCGGACCACAGCTGGAAGAAGGCGGCACACAGACCAGGCAGGTAAACCAGCGCCAACATCACCAAGGCCACGGAGGGCAGAGTGACGTTCACCGTCTCGATGGGCATTTTGTAGAAGACGCTCTTCCCCGCCGTGACGTAGGGCTGCAGGACGTCCCGCAGGAAGTTGTACAGGTAGAAGAGGATGAAGAGAAACAGGGTGCAGAGGATGGGGATGCGCCAGGAAGGGAATAAAGACAGGGGGAGGTTTTCAATCTCCAGAGAAGAGGAGAGGAGGCCCATATCGACCGGGACGAAGCCCATCCTGCGACAGAGCTGCATCACGGAGCTCTTGGCCTTGCTGCTGTTACTGCACAGGAAAATCTGCAGGGAACAGTTGACATATTTAGTCACAAGTAAGACGTATCTCCACGAATGCTGCTTCCCTGGACATCTTCAAGTCATCATTAAAAACTCATCACCGTCCCCCTGCTTCCACTCCTACTTTATTTACCTTATTATTTGCCCTTTTGTCTGATTGTTTGTTCACCATGTAAAGCGGCCTTGGGTCCCTTGAAAGGCGCTTTACAAATGTCATCTATCATCATTATTAATGTGAACTATGAGCAGATGTTTCCTACCTGATTTTGCCTTCTTCTTCTTCACTGACACAATTATGCAAATTAGACAGGCAGTGTTACAGCCGCTGCTACCTTGTGAGCTTAAGTCTGTTTGTGTATGTAAATGAGCTGTGCAGTTCCTCTGCTGTCATTGGCCGTCCGGACCGCTCAACATCCGCGGGGAGGGACAGACGTCGCCCAACCCCTGCTCGCTTCTGCCACGTCATCCGGGGGAGGAGTATAAAGGCTGAGCACGGACAACAGTCGGGAGGCTCTGTATTTTGTGTCAGATGCCTCAACCCTATCCTTGTGATAAGCCTTCATTCTGTGAATTCTGAGAGTATTTAGCCGTGTGTCTTTTGTATTAGCTCCACTGATTAGCAGTGTCTGTAGTAGGGTTCTAGGCGAGCACACTGAGTAGCAGTGTGTCGTCGGGTTCTGTGTTAGCGTAGGGATTTTGTGTGTGTGTATACTGCTTAGATCCAGGTTGGTTAGCACCTGTCGACCAGCGTTCCTGTGAGTGGATATTGCGTAGAGCCAGGTGATTAGCACCTGTAGACCAGCGTTCCTGTGAGTGGATATTGCGTAGAGCCAGGTGATTAGCACCTGTAGACCCGCACCAGCTGTGTGTTTCCACAGTCCCGTTTTGTTTATTGTTTGTTTCCACTTTAGTAGTGAGATTTGTTTTTCTTTGTGTAGCGGGGCAACTCTCTTTTGGAGACCCTTTGTGTTGTGTTATAGTGACAGATTGACCCGTGTTGTGGGGCCAATCTGTGTGACCATCATTTTACTTAGTTTCAGTAACAATAAAACCACCGGTAACGAATATACTTCACATAGTAAACAAGTCTCTTCAATCAGGTGTTTTTCCACAGGCCCTGAAAACTGCAGTAATTAAAACCGCTCCAAAAAAAGCATAACCTAGACGCAACCATAATGAATAATTACAGGCCCATATCAAACCTTCCCTTTTTAAGCAAATTGATTGAAAAAGCAGTTTTTCAACAGTTGAGTAATTTCATGTTTTTAACTGACGGTTTTGATGTGTTTCAGTCGGGCTTCCGACCTAACCCCAGCACTGAGACTTCACTTGTTAAGGTCTTAAATGACCGTAGCATTAGTTATTATGCCCCAACAATTTGGAACAAACTGCCTAAATCGTGCACGTCCACCAAAACACTTGCACTATTTGATCTGTGTTATTGTGTTGCACTGTTGGAGGAGCATGGGACCTAAGATTTTCATAGACATAACTACACTGTAGCTATGTACGAATGACAATAAAAAAATAAATCTTGAATCTCCACGAATGTATACTATGAGCAGATGTTTCCCACCTGTCTGCTTGCATCTCGAGGTCCTCTCTGCAGCGCCCAGGCTGATATGGTGTTGAACCCTTTGACCACATCGCTGTCTGGAAACATGTCGGCCAGCTGCTCGGCGTTGGAAGGCCCGTCGTGGTTGATTCTCAAACCGTTGCTCACGTCCACCAGCGTCTTTCCAGCCAGCGAGGGCTTCAGCTCCAGCAGCGTGGAGTGATGCTCGGGGAAAACAGCCACAAACATCAGGGCTGCCTGACTGGCTGCCTCCACCTGAGAGGTCACCTGGAAGAGGAACAGAGGAATGGTTCAACTTGACATACATCTGTATCTAACGTATAATAAAGAAATAATCCAAAACCATAATCCATTTTGTCAAGATGAATCCATTTATTTGTTCCATCTCTCCTTCAACTTGTTTAGCTTTCCCCGTCCAACACCAACCCCTTCCCCATAAACACACATCATATAGCAAATAGGAGACCAAGGGGTGTCAACAAATATATTCGGGGGCGTAAACAACTAAGGTGAGTAGATAAATATTCAACAAATAATATCTGTAGGCCATGTTTACTACTAAAACATGTTAAACAATTCAAATAAAAAGTGAAGTGAAATGGCTCCTACAATGCCTAAACCCTGCACCTTATGAAGAACAAAGTTCATTTATAAGAGTCCTTGTGGTTTTCGAGGTGTCCAACACTGACAATGCAAAGGTGCGCAACTCTATTCCCAAACCACAAGTGGGATTATCTGCTAAGCATCTCTTCATGATAATAGCAGCTGTTATTATGCCTTGTGGGTAAAGTCAGTGAGTAAACATAGAATTAGCACCTTAGGACGGGACCAACAACACTCATTACATGGTGAGTGTGGGTGTGTGTCAGAGTGTGTGTATCACCTCGACCTCTTCGGGGAACAAATCCTCAGAGCGCTTGGGGTTTCGACTCCCCACCACCACCTGGTATCCGGAGGACACCAGCCTCCTGGCCAGCGAGCGGGAGAAGTCGCCCGTTCCCATGATGCCGATCACCGGAGAGTCGGACATGGAGGCTTCCAGATGTCTCGAGCCTCCTGCTTCACCTCTGTCGCGGATTAAAGGCCTTGCCATGTCATCAGGCATAATGCGCTGATGAATCTGTGGAGATGGTTCATTTAGACTCAGATGACCTCGACTGAATGCAGTCAGACATAGAAAGGAGGATAAAACACTTTCAACTAGGCATTAAGATGTTGATTGTAAGGTCTAAAAAAAGGTGTACTTTTCCTCCACTACATTTATTTAACACCTTTAGTTACTTCACAGATCTGGATGAATGATGTGAAATATAATCAAGTGTTGAATCAGACTTTAGTTCCACCTGGAGTAAATCCACCAGCTACCCTGCAGTATACAAAGTCATTCAAACTAGCTGCACCTTCACCAGCTTTGATAACACTTTCATGATCAATCATTATAAAACATATCATATATATTATTCTGAAATGGACCAATCTGCACAACGACTACTTTTACTGTATTTTGATGAGAATACTTTTCTACTTTCACTTGAGGAACATTTTGAATGCAGGACTTTTACTGTAACAGAGTATTCCTACACTTCTACTTTTACTCAAGTACAAGATCTGAGTACTTCTACTTTTACTCAAGTACAAGACCTGAGTACTTCTACTTGTACTCAAGTACAAGCTCTACTTCTTCCACCTCTGATTATAATATCAAAACATTACTAGCAAGCCTGCCATAAATGCAAAACTTAATCCACGAACTCCACTGTTTTGAAGATACAAAAGTCGTTAACATACATAACAATAGCAGTCGAAATAATTAGTAAAAACGTCCTTTTTTTATTTAAATACTGCTTTGGTTATAATGCAAATGTATGCCGAATTAACCAGACAACCTAAATTATTCAGAAACAGTTGCAAGAAATGTTATAGGACGCATTAAAGCTGATAAGAAATTAAATTGCAGGAAATGTAAATTGGCTTTCACAACAAAACCGAAAGTGGCTTGTTGCCCTTGACTGAACTCGTGGACACTTTAAAGTTCCTCTCTCTAACAAACCAAGCAACACAGGCACATACAAGCGAACATTCGAATACATAAGTGGTTTAAATTGTTTAAGTCAGTCCCTGTTAGTAGTTAAAGCGGTATTTTGTACCTACTTTCAGGTACTTGCTCACCCTCTCCTCCGCTCTCTGCAAACTGAGCGGTTCTTCCTGATAAGGTGACGCAACAGCAGAAGCCCCGCCCCCTCCACGCCCCCCATGTGTGAGCAGAAGATAAAATTGAGTGAGCTGCCTGCACACATGTACCAACACAATACATATGATAAGAAATCCTCCCAGAAGACACATAATAGACCGTTAACATTACAAGACAAATGCTGCACTTTTTAATATGGTGTTTAAAAAAGTGCTTTACAAGAATGGGGAAAAAGCAGGAATATAAAGAGTTTTGAAGCATGCATGACCCTTTCTCTTGCTTTCCCCCCATCTTCTAAGGAGGGTTGTACTGTATATATAATATATACTGACTGATAAAAATCTATGTGATCTCTTTGTCTTTACACACTCTTCAATTTACTGCAGAATATGAACACATTTCGGCCAAATACTACCACTTTAAAACTGTAGCTAGTCCACTTCAAATTCAGATATATTGTTCATACTTGTTTCCCCTTTATTTGTAATATTTTTATATATATTTGGTTTGTAAATCTTTGTTTCTTGTACACATTTTCCTTACTTTTCTCTATATATCAATGTATCCTATACTGTGTTAATATATCTTTATATAATGGTGGATAGCTTTTGCACTGTACAAGTACAATCTATATTAAATATGCCCTTGAGAAAAATAAATGGCACACCAAAAAACAGACGGACATAATAGAGAAGAGTAGAGACACTAAATAATATTCATTAGGTCTAAATAGAGGCAGACTTTTAATAGTAGTCTCTCGCTTGACTCCATCTGCTGCTGTCAGGGTATTTGATTAACTGGCCCTGGGATTAGGAGAGAAAAGCCAAAGCAAAATTGTGTTAAAAAAGAAACGTCTGACCGCAGGTTACACACTGTCAACATGACTTCATCACGTCTGCCTTTGCCACTTGCAAAAGGTTGAAGCCCTCTGGCTCACAGCGCTGCATCAGTGTCACTCACTAACAGACACACACACACACACACACACACACACACACACACACACACACACACACACACACACACACCACACACACACACACACACACACACACACACACACACACACACACAGACACACATACACACACACAAACACACACACACACACACACACACACACGCCACCCTCTCTTTCAGTCTCTAGGCTATGGCCTCGTGTTTGTGCTTCAGGTCACATTCCTTGACATAGATATATGATTTTAAGATTTCTTATTCATAGGTATTGATTACAGTCTCCTGGTGTGGAACTGGTAACCCCTTAATCTTACACGTCAAATCAATTAAAGTTATTCTAACCATAGGGGACAGACTTCAGTTAAATACTCTCCCTAAACCCACCCTGCTAATAGAGTGCTACAGTGATGTGCTCGAATAGCAAGGGTTCCCTCGACAAAATGCAATAGAAAATGAGCTCTGTGTACTTATATGGTTTGTTCAGCAGGATTATGTTTATGTACATATTATGTACATATTTACACCACTTTGATCATTTTTAAAACCTAAACGCAATAGTATAAAGCTAATGTTAGGCTTCAAAGGGACAACATCACGTTCACATGAATTTATGTCACCAAAGCTAAGCTAAAGGTGGCTAATGTTCGCCGTGATGACATTTAAGTCGTCTCTTTCAACCGTGACATAATTTCTATTGTGAACAAAATGTGAGAATATCTTGAACCACAGACCTTATTTCAGGCATCTCACCAAAAACATGTTTAAAAAAGCAACTGGAAGAAGTGGTAAAATGCTAACTCTTTGTCATTGTTGCCCCACTCCATTGCTAATATTTAAAAGAAAAATAGCAAACAGCAGGGTTTCGTAACCTTTCCTTGCCTTTGATGCTGTTTCCCGTTTCATAATAACATTACCACAGCAATTAGAGAGCAGCAAGGGAAAGGCACGGTCATAAACGGTTAGCCTGAGGTGGACGAATTCAGCCATGTTGGCCTCTGACAGGACTTCACTGTCAACATGTGACATGGAGGAAGACGTTTGTTTCTGTGGATTCAGGAGCCGAGGTGTCTTCATCAGAGATTAGGGACACATGTTAGGACAGGAGCTGATGTTGCAAGTTTACCGCTGAATTGTTGTGGCTCAGTGGAGGTTTCCCACAAACATACTCAGGATAGAGTGCTGGACTTCGAATCAGGGCAAGTTCGAGTCCCACAGTCAGCATGTCGTTGTGTCCCTGGGCACTTCACCCCAAATGTCTCCTGTGGGGATTGTCCACAGCACTGAATGTATGTTAGTCGCTTAAGCGTCTAACAAATGACATGTGATGTAACATACAACAGCTACAGTAAAATGCTACTTGCCTGTCTATGCCTCAACAATATGGTACTCTAAAAAAGGGGATGTCTGCATGATAGGTACATTTACTTTGGAAGCCGTTTCTTGTGAATCCCTCAAGCTTAACGGGACAATTTGAATCCAGCATGTGGGGCCAAAACACTATTTCAAAGAGAGACAAAGACTGAATGCATTACATGGCTTTTGTAGAAAATGCTGAAACAGTATTAAAAAAAGGACTGACTCAAAGGCAAGCTTCTGTCTACCATTTTTACACAAAAACACCCCAAAAAACAGTCTTTGTGTTTCAGTGATTCCAGGTGTAAATGCACAAGTGACAGACATATTAATTTGTCTCACTGTATGATATGACACAGCAGTCCTTTAGCATGCAGCGTGATGAGCAGCCCGAGAGCTGCAGGGCAGGATAGTCTCAGCAGCGGCAGTGCATAATGTGGACAGTGTGTCGTGCATGGCTCACTATCGCCTACAGATACTGTTCACTGTACGAATCCTGAGTAAAGGTCATTACTGCAGTCATGTAGCACAGTCGGGGAGCATCATGTTCTTCCTGCATACTTATTCTTAGGGTTTTGCAGCTAAGTGTCATTTCAGTGGATGAAAATGCATATTTGTCTTTAAATTTCAACCTCGATTTCATTTTAGCCCGAGCTCTCATGACTTGGCGTGCTCTTGCTCACCTTCAGACATGAGCAGCCCAGTAGGAGGCATGTTCTACGGGTTAAAGCTGAGCTAAGCACGAGTTGAAATTGCCTCGGGGGGCTTGGCTTCTGCACTGTGACTGTAGGGCTTCGGCTAAGCCTCGTCTCCGGCCTCTGAAGGTTTCTAAACATCGCCTTGAGCTCTAAAGCCTCTGTTGTGGATGTGAGGCCTTCGCTCCAATTCCAGGTGCTTAGTACCCAGCATGCACTTTTGAAGTATTTCAGGTCCTTCATCGGGGCATTTTTGGAGCGACGCAATCAATAGACGCTTTTAATTTTCAATTACTCTCTTTTTGGTGCCTCAAAAGCTTGTGTAAAAGTCTTATTCAGCTGTGCTTATGAAACATATGGTTAGAACAAGCGGTGGCCTCCCTGGAACAAAGGAGGCTAAGGAGGTATTTAAGACAGATCTGTATGCAATAGAGTAATGATTGTCTGCACACGGGGAGAATTTTAATTTGCCGGAGAATCGAAATTCACGGCCTGTGGCTCCGCACATCGTGAAACAAGACATCAAATATGTCGCTGCCGCGGGGGAGCTCGGCGCTGAAGGTGTCGGCTGCCGTCAGACATCCTTGGTCCATTTCCTGCATAAATGATCTGCTTTCCTTCTGCCCCTCTGTCTTCTCCTTCGTGTGTGTGGTTGGTCATGTGATGTCACACACTAACCTGCCCTTAGCCTTCGTTCCTGACTTTGAGGAGTCATGCTCTGAGTCAAATATTCGGATGTATTTGGTATCACAAGTTTAAACAGGATTTTAACCTTGTCAAGGCGGACTTGTAAATAATGAAAGCAAGAATGTGTGACATTTTGAGCTATTTCCATTGATTTGGAGAGTGCTTCTAATACTATTATGGTTTGAAAAAGATTTTAAAATAAATACATTTCCCACTCTGACTTATCATACTGCGTTAGACATTAATCCAAATCCCCAATCTTGTACCTGAGGAATGTATGCATCTGTTTTTGAAATCATAACTCCCAAAGGGGAATACAGGTGAATAAATATATGGTAATGCTGGCATGTATCCCACCTATAAGAATTCATAAACAGCTCTACATGGTTGAGATGTATTCAAATACATATGGCATCATTTGGCATTTTAAGGCTATTCATATATGCATGGGTTGATACATTCAAGTATAATATGGAGATATGTTTCTACTTTAAATATTGAGCATCCTTTGCTGAATTATGATAAATATTTAGTGCCATCTTGAATAACAATTGCGCAGACTTCAACTTTACGCACTGACTGATTCTCTTATCAAGTCAGCTGAGTCGAAAGAGAGGACTTCCTGTTTTGCCTTTACAAATAAAACCCCTTCTTACAATTTGATTTAGTGTCTAATAAAAAAACTGCTCTGTGTTTTCTGGTGCAGTGGTGGAAAACGTAATATTCATAATGATGTAAAAAAAAATGCAATATTGTGAAGAAAATGATGTTGCATTTGTTAGAGTTGCAGTTTATTTTACCCTGTTTATGCTGTTGGGTACAGGATGATTGAAAACAAATGTATTTATAGGATTCTTACTATGAATGTATATCCTCAAGGACATGGTTAAATACACTTACTAAGTGGCTTTGGAAAAAAAAAAAAATGTAATATAGTGTCCAGTGGTGTAAAGTAACTATAGATTTACTCAAGTGGACTTAAGTACAATTCTGAGGTACATAATATGTACCTTAGAATTGTACTTAATTGGCCCATTTCAGAATAATATATATTATATTTACTACATATAATATATATTATTCTGAAATGGGCCAATCTGCATAATGAGTACTTTTACTTTTGGTACTTTAAGTATATTTTGATGCCAATACTATTGTACTTTTACTTGAGTAACATTTTGAATGCACTAAGAGTATTCCACTTACTCAAGTACAAGATCTGAGTACCCATTATTTAACATCGGCTCGTCGTTCTTTCATATTCTTAAATCCTCCTAACCTATTGTTTTAATCTGAAGGGCTTATTCTCTATCTTCCGGTTTTATCC